AGGCACACCAAGCGCACAGGCTCGAACGTTTGAGGTTGAGGCTCCAACACCAATAGCATTGGTAGGAGTTTGTGCACTAGGCCGTGGAGAGGAGTCCAAACCACCCTATAGCATGTAAGCCTACCGCACAGCTAGGTCTAAACCCGTAAGATGCCTGTACCACATTAGGGAAGGCCTAAGGGGACAGATGTGCAATTGGATCTTTTAAAAATGCATAGGATCAACAGAAGCCTTCAGCAGGATTTAGTTAACCCTAAAAATCAAGAAGTAAAATCCTATATTGATGTAATTTGTGTAATCTCCGATTAAGTAGGACATATTGTAATTCATTGATTCTAAAGATTTGGCCATAAGAGTAGCTATGGGTTCTTGTCACAGGCTAAGACTCAACCTCTAAATTCATATGGCTCTAGGACCCAAGCATCTATTCATCCGACATTTTAAATCAGTTTGACCTTAAATCCAGCTTGGTAAATCACTTTACATTCCTAAGTTGGTTGAACAAGTCCATAATGAGTGGGATAGGATACTTGTTCTTACTGGTCAGCTTGTTCAAAGCCTGATAGTCTATACACAACTACAACGACCCATCATGCTTGCCCTAGAATAGAATCGAGGCACCATATGGCACCTTAAATGGCCTGATGAAGCCAGCATTAATTAACTCCTTAAGCTTTTTACTTAACTTCTCTAACTCAAGTGGGCACATTCAATAAGGGGCTCTAGTTGGTGGCTTGACCTTGAGCACCAACTCGATCTTATGGTCTACCTTTTTTTCAGGTGGTACCTTGCTAGGCAGTTTTGTGGGCATTACATTGCTAAAGGATTCTAGCACTTTTAGCACCTTCAAAGAGGTATTGGTCTCCATCTCTCTTGGTTTCTCATATTTTAGGCCTACTAAGAAGGTGTCTTCATCTTTGCTTACCGTCTTGGCAAATTGAATGACCAACACCACCTTAAACCTAATCTCGGACCCATGCCTCAATGGTACAAGGCATTGGCACCATGCATCCAGAATACAATTACAATTGACAAAAGGCATAATGAAGGCATTAATCTGAATAAAGAAATCCAACCCAATCACAAACTCATAGTCATCCAAGGGTATTACCTCAATGGTCTTTTTGCCCTTCCAGTCTCCAAGCTATAACTCCATTCATCGCATAACTCTAATGGCTGAAACTTTTTTGGAGTTTATTATCTTGATGGTACCAATCTCTTTCTGCACTTTCAATCTGAGCTTCTAGGCTTCATTGCCTAAAATAAATAAATGTGAGGCACTTGTGTCCACTAGTACGCTCACTTTCTAGCCCACAACCATCAGATCTGCAAACATCAAGCCCTTTGGCTTGCAACTCCTCTTACTCTGGATAGCATTAAGCACCAATGACCAAAGCTTTGTTGCCCCTACTTCTGGTTCTTATCAAACTCTTTGTCTACAGTAGCTAACTTGCCTTTCTATGGGCAAGGCCAAGACTGGTTCCTCGATCACAGCCTACTTCAATAGATTAAAGGCTTCCTGGCACCCTACACTCTACTCCCATGCTCTTCTTTTCCTAAGTAAGTCAGTCAATGGTATGGCTATGGCTGAGTGACCTTTGATGAAGTGCTTGTAGTAGTCGAATAGCCCAAGGAATGACCATAACTCAATGACTTTGGCTAGTGGTTCCCACTCTAGGATGGAGCACACCTTACTTTCATTCATGTGAATCCTACCACCTCCCACTATGTGGCCAAAAAATGAGATCTCCTACTAGGTAAATGAGTACTTCTCCCTCTTGACATACAGCTGTGTGCACACAACACCTCGAACACTTGTCTCAAGTGGTCTACATGCTCTCCCAATGTCTGGTTGTAGATCACAAAGTCATCAAAATAAACCACAACAAACCAATCAAAGAATGACTGAAGTACTTTGTTCATGAATGTACAAAAGGTTATCGAGGCATTGGTGAGTCTGAATGACATGACCAAAAACTCATACAAGCCATATCGAGTGACACACACTATCTTAGGCTCATCTCTCTCTATGATCCTGACCTGGTAGTAGCTTATGCAACTTCACTTGTGCCTAATCATTAGGAAGGCTTGAAGAAGTAGATACGTAACTGGATCTTCTAGTAGTGCACAAGATCAATAAAAGCCTTCAGTAGGATTTGGTTGACCCTAAAAATTAGAAAGCAGAATCTTGTATTAATGAATCTATGTAATCCCTGATTGAGTAAGAGATATTATAATTCCTTGATTCTAGAGATTTATTCATAAGTGTAGCTGGGGGTTCTTTTCCTGAGCCAAGACTTAACCTTCAGACCCGCGTGGCTCTAAGACTCAAGCATCCACTCATCTGATGTCCTAAATCAACCTGACCGTTATGATTCACACCCTTATGAGGTATTGTCCACTCTGGCCCCTCTAGCCTAACAATTTTATCCTACAAAAGGTACCTCACAATGAAGGAAATATGTGAACCCTTATATCCCAAGACCAACTCTATTACTCAACTAATATGGGATTCTTGGTTTTATTTCAAGATCATAACATTCTTCCCCCACTGTAAGAAGCCCATCATTTTCGATGACAGATTGTTAGTACGCTCAGAGCTAGCTCTAATATCATTTGTCATGGGCCAAGACTCAACCTCTTGGCTTACGCAGTTTCAGGACTGAGCATGCACTCTTTTGGCATCCTAGATTAGCCTACCTACTAAGGTTTACACCCTTGTGAGGTATTGTCTACTTTGGCCCCCTTGGCCTTATGATTTTGTCGTACAAAAGGTGCCCACAATAAAAGGAATGTGTAAACCCTTATATCCTAATACCAATTCTAGTACTTAACCGATATAGGATTCCTAACTTCACTTCAAGATCCTAACATCCTCCCCTACTTCAACAGAGGCCACTGTCTTCGGTAGCACATTGCTAGTACCCTTAGAGTTGGCTCTAATACTAACTTGTCATGTGTTGAGACTTAACCTCTAAGGTCGTGGGGCTTCAGAACCCAAACATGCACTCATCCAGGATCCTAGATCAGCCTACCTACCATAGTTCACACCTTTGTGAGGTATTATCCGTTTTGGCCCCTTTAGTCTTATGGTTTTATCCTACAAAAAACATCTCACAATAAGGGAAATGTATGAACTCTTATATCCCAAGACCAACTCTAGTACTTAACCGATGTAGGATTCCTGGCTTCACTTCAAGATCGTGACATTGTCTCACAATAAGGGGAATGTATGAACCCTTATATCCTAAGACCAACTCTAGTACTCAACCGATGTAAGATTTTTAACTTTATTTTAGGATCGTGATATCCTTCCCCACTCTAACAAGGGCCCATTGTCTTCGATGGTACATCGTTAATACCCTCAAAGTTGGCTTTGATACCACTTGTCATAGGTTGATACTCAACCTTCAGAGCTACATGGCTCAAGGACCTATACATCCATTCATCTGGCATCCCAGATCAGCCTGACCATTACAGTTCATACTCTTATGATGTATTGTCCACTCTAACCCTTCTGGCCTTATAGTTTTATCTTACAAAAGGTACCTTACAATGAAAGAAATATGTGAACCTCTATATCCTAAGACCAACTCTAGTACTCAACTGATGTGAGATTTCTGACTTTATTTTAGGATCATGACATCCTCTCCCACTTCAACGAGTACCCACCATCCTCAGTGGCACATCGCTAGTATCCTCAAAGCCTGACCATCACGGTTCACACCACTCCCTCCTTGTAAGATCTTTTTGTAGGATAAAATCATGAGGCTAGAGGGGCCATAGTGGACAATACCTCATAAAGGTGTGAACCGTGACTGTTAGACTGATCTGAGACATCGGATAAGTGTATGCCTAAGTCCTGGAGTCACACAAGCCTAGAGGTTAAGTCTAAGACTGTGACAAATGGTATCAGAGTTAGCTCTAGAGGGTACTATCGATGTGCCACCGAGGATAGTGGGCCTTCGTTAGAGTGGGTGAGGATGTAACGGTCCTAAAGTGAAGTTAAAAGTCTCACATCAGTTGAGTACTAAAGTTGGTCTTGGGATATAAGGGTTCACATATTTCCCTCATTGTGAAGTATCTTTTATAAGATAAAATCGTGAGGCCAAGAAGGCCAAAGTGGACAATACTTCACAAAGGTGTGAAACTATGATGGTTAGGCTGATCTGAGATGTCAGATGAGTGCATACCTAGGTCTTGGAGCTGCGCAAGCCTAGAGGTTGAGTCTAGCCAGGCACGCCAGATGAACAGGCTTGAGTGCCTAAGGTTGAGGCTTGTACACTAGGAGTATTGGTGGGGGTTTGCATACTAGGCCTTAGAGAGGAGTCTAAACCGCCCACACAGCATGTAAGCCTACCTGTAAGACCAGGTCCAGGCCTATAAGATGCCCACACCATATTAGGAAAGGCTTAAGGGAGTAGATGCATGACTGAATCTTTTTGAAAGGCACAAGATTAGCAAAAGCCTTCAGCAAGATTTGGTTGATCCTAAAAATTAGGAAGCAGAATCATATATTGATGTAATCTGTGTAATCTTTAATTGATTGTAATTCCTTGATTCTAAGGATTTAGCTATAAGTGTAGCTGAAGACCTTAGCTATAAATAGAGGGTTGCTCCACCCTCATTTGTATATCATCTTACACTTTTGATTCAATAATATATAGAGCATATTCTAACAATTCTCTTATTCTTCTGTTTTCTCAAACTTGAGCATTCTATCTTTTCATTTGTTCTAGTGCCTGCATACTTGTGTTTTAGGCTGACTTAAGCTCGAATAAGGTGATTTCAAGCTTAAGGCCACATAGATTCTAAATCTAAGGTCGAAGTCATGATAGTTGGTATCAAAGAAGTTTTAGTTTCTGCTTGTTTATGTGTGTGTAGGTTAGATCATAGTCGAGGAGATGCCATCCTAAAACAATCTTACTAGTCAACAACCAAGGGCCCAAAAGCAAGGTTGCAAAAGCGATAAGGCCAATTTGAGAGATATCTGATCTACCATGGATGGGAGGCTATCCAAGGTGGAGGTGACCATAAGTAACATGAAGGAAAAGCTTGATGATATAGACACTCATGTTGAAGCACTAGACTCTATAGAAGAAGATCTTAAGGGTAAGTTACAAGCTACTCTCAATTAAAGCCTGGATGTGATCACCCAAAAGAACAAGACCTTAGAAGCTTAAGTGGAGACCATGCACAATGGCATGGATGCCATACGTAAAAAGATAGAGGAGCTCAGCAGTGAGCTCATTGTATGCAAGACTGCCATAAAAAATAGCATGTTTACTGGAGCATCTAAGACCCATATGGAGATCCCCAAACCTAAAAAGTTCAAGGGACCAAGGCGACCAAAGAAGTAGACAACTACCTATGAAGCATGGGTAGTACTTCTAGGCCATAAACATGCAAGATGAGGCTACCAAGGTAAGCACCACATGAATGTATCTTATTGATGTTGCCTTGTTATGGTGAAGGTGCATGTGTGATGATGTGAGGCACAAGGGCACCATGATTGGAACCTAGGCAGAGTTTCAAATAGAGTTTAGACAGCAATTTTACTTGAAGTATGCCAATGATGAGATATAGGCGAAGTTGCGTAGGCTTACTTAGCAAGGGGAAATAAGGGATTGTGTCTAAAAATTCTCTGAACTAATGCTTCAGATCTTGGATCTAGGTGAGACGGAGGGTTTATTTGCCTTCATGAATGGGTTAAAGCCATAGATAAAGTATGAGCTACAAAGGTGGAGAGTTCGTGACTTGGCTAAAGCCATGACTACTACTGAGTCATTAATGGAGTTCAAACCACTGAACAAGTTCGAGTCTTCCAAGCTTAAAGGAAAAGGTAAAGACAAGAGGGACTGAGAAAAGCAGTCTAAAAAAAAAGACTGTGATCGATAGTCCAATGATGGTGACTAAGATCGTTCAGATAAAGATGATGAGAGAAAGCCACCAACAAAAAAGTGGAAGGCAAAGAAGGACCGAGAGATGTTCTAATGCTACCTATGTAGAGGAAGCCATATAGCATACAACTATCTATAGAAGGGCAAGCTGGCTACTGTAGATAAAGAGTCTGACGAGAAGCCAAAATCAGGGGTAGTAAAAGCTTGGGTCATTGGTGCTTAATGCTATCCAAACTAAGGAGACCCATAAGCCAAAATGCTTGATGTTTGTGGATCTGATGGTTACGGGCCAGAAAGTGAGTGCATTAGTGGACACAGGTGCCTCACACTTATTTATTTCAAGCGATGGAGCCCAGAAGCTCAAACTGAAGGTGTAAAAAGGGACTGGTACCATCAAAATGATGAATTCTAAGGAAATTTCAGCCATTGAAGTTGTGCGAGGAGTGGAGTTACAACTTGGAGACTGAAGGATAAAGAGACCATTAAAATAATACCTCTAGATGACTCTGAGTTTGTGATTGGGTTGGATTTTTTTGCTCGGATTAATGCCCCTTTTGTGCCTTTTACCAATTGTATTTGCATTCTGGATACACGGTGCCAATGCTTTGTACCATTTATATGAGGGCCTAGGATTGGGTCTAAGGTGATGTCAGCCATTTAATTTGCCAACGCAGTGAGTAGGGATGAAGACACCTTCTTCGTAGCCCTGAAGTATGAAAAACTAAAAGAAAAAGAGACCAACACCCCCTTAGAGGTGCTAAAAGTGATGGAGTCCTTTAGTAATGTGATACCCTTAAAGCTACCTAACAAGCTACCACCTAAGTGAGAGGTGGACCATAAGATTGAGCTAGTGCCCAAGGCTAAGCCACCAACTAAAACCACTTACCGAATGTCCCCACTAGAGTTGAAAAAGTTAAAGAAGTAGCTTAAATAGCTAATTAATGCTGGCTTCATCAGGTCATCTAAGGCACCATATGGTGCCTCGATTCTATTCCAACAGAAGCATTATGGGTTGTTACGGTTGTGTATAGACTACTTGGCTTTGAACAAGCTAACCATTAAGAACAAGTATCCTATCCCACTTATTGCAAACTTGTTTGACCAACTTGGGAGTGCAAGGTGGTTCACTAAGTTGGATCTGAGGTCAGGCTACTACTAGGTCAGGATCACGGAGAGAGATAGGCCCAAGATAACTTGTGTCACTTGGTATGGCTTGTACAAGTTCTTGGTCATGCCATTTGGACTTACTGATGCCCTAACAACCTTCTGTGCACTTATGAACAAGGTACTTTAGTCGTTCCTTGATCAGTTTGTTATAGTTTATCTTGATGACATTGTGATCTATAGCCAGATATTGGGAAAGCATGTAGACCACTTGAGACAGAAGTTTGAGGTGTTATGGGTGCACAAGCTATATGTCAAAATGGAAAAATGCTCAATTGCTCAGCAGGAGATTCCTTTTTAGGCCACATAATGGGATGTGGCAAGATTTGCATGGATAAAGACAAGGTGCATGCCATCTTAAAGTGGGAACTGCCAGCCAAGGTCACTGAGTTGAGATCATTCTTTGGGCTAGTCAACTACTATAGGCATTTTATCAAAGGCCATTCAGCCATAGCCACGCCAGTGACTGACTTTCTCAAGAAAAAAAAGCATGAAAGTGAAGTGCAAGGTGCCAAGAAACCTTTGATCGGTTGAAACAAGCTGTGATTGAGGAGCCAATATTGGCTTTGCCAGACCATGCTAAGCCGTATGAAGTGCATATGAATGCATCAAACTACACAATAGGGGCATGTTGATGTAGAAAGGACATTTAATTGCATTCAAGAGTCAGAAGCTCAATGAGACTGAGCATAGATACATAATCTAAGAGAAAGAGATGACTACTTACACACTTGACGCCACTATCAATTGGGGTCGAAGTTCATGGTCAAGACAGATAATGTGGTGACTAACTACTTTTAGTTGTAGAAGAAGTTATCCCTCAAGCAAGTGAGATGGTAAAATTTTCTTACGAAATTTGATTTTTAAATGGAGTATAAGCCAGGGCAGGCGAACATGGTGGTTGACACCTTAAACAGGAAAGTGAACCTTGTTGCCATTAGCCAACTAGAAGGGTCTTTGGTGCTACACATCAAAGAAGGGCTTACATATGATCCTACAACCCAAGCTCTCATAGAGTACGCCTAATAAGATAAGACTAGGCAGTTTTAGTTACAAAATGGTTTGTTGTACACCAGGGGCAGAAGGCTATTTGTGTCATAACATGAAAAGCTTCGCAGGGAAGTCATGCATGAATGCCATGATTCGAGATGGGTTGGACACCTAGGGGTGAGCCACACCTTGCCTTAGCTAGAGGATCGATACTACTAGTCATACATAAGGGAAGATGTGGAGGCCTTTAAGTGTCAACAGGACAAGGTAAAGCTGAAAAAACCAAGCGATCTCTTAGAGCCATTACTAGTGCCAAAGCAATTGTAGGAAAACATCACTCTAGACTTTATAGTCGGTCTACCTAAGGCAGAGGGGGTCAGAAGCATCATGGTAATGGTGGACAGGTTTTCCAAGTATAGGATTTTCATTCTAGCAACCAAGAAATGCCTAGTTGAGGAAGCAACCCAGTTGTTCTTAAAAAATGTGGTAAAGTACTAGAGAATGTCGAAGACCATTGTTAGTGATCGAGATGGGCATTTCACGGGCAGGTTCTAGACTGAGTTGTTTAAGCTATTATGGTTAGACTTGAACTTTTCCACCAACATACATTCATAGATTGATAGGTTGACTAAACGAGTGAATGGACTATGAGAGGTCTACCTTAGGCACTATGTAAGTGCCACACAAAGGGACTAGCCAAAGCTATTAGATGTCACCCAGTTTTCTATCAAATTGCAAAGAAGCGAAGCAATGAACCATAGTCAATTTGAGATTATAACAAGTTAGCAACCTTTAACACTCGATTCGATTATTATAGGTTATACAAGGCCAAATCCAGCAACATACAAGTTTGTCAAGGCTTAGCAGGAGCAAGCTGACTTGGCCAGAGTCTGTCTTCACAAAGTGATAAAAAGGTTAAAAAAGTAGGTAGACCAGTATAGACGGCATGTGCAGTTTCAAGTAAGAGACTTGGTGTTTGTGAAGCTACATCTCATTGTACACCATAAGAGGCTGCACAAAGGCCTAGTCCAGAGGTATGAAAGACCTTTTCGAGTAGTCAAGAGGGTAAACAAGGTTGCCTACAAGCTAGATATACCACCCAAGTTGAAGGTACACACGATGTTACATGTTAGCATGCTCAAACCATTTTATGAGGATGAGAGAGATCTAGGATAAGCAAAGTTAAAATGTGTGCCTTTGGGAGTGAAGGCCTCATATAAAAAAAAGGTCCATAGCATTATAGCTGATCAGGAAATGAGGTAAAAGAATTATCAACCAAGATAGGAGTACTTGATGTGTTGGAAGAGACTTTTAAATAGTGAGGCAAGCTAGGAGCCAGCAGAAAACTTATGGCAATTTAGGGACCAAATCAAGTAGTACCATGTAGAAGTCGTAACAAAGGCATTGTGTAATTAGGTGGGGAGAATGTCATGCCCTAGGCGAGCGCACCAGCTCAAGCACCCAAGGTTGAGGCTCGTGCACCAGGAGCATTAGTGGGGGTTTGTGCACTAAACCTTAGAAAAGAGTCCAAACTGCCTATACAGTATGCAAGCCTACTCGCACAGCTAGGTCCAGGCCTGCAAGACACCTGTGTCACATTTGGGAAGGCCCAATAGAGGAAGTGTATAACCAAATCTTTTAAAAGTGCACAGGATCAGTAGAAGCCTTTAACGGGATCTGATTGACCCTAAAAATTAGGAAACAGAATCTTGTATTGATGTAATCTATGTAATCGTTGATTGATTGTAATTCTTTGATGCTAGAGATTTAGCCATAAGTGTAGCTGGGTGCCTCAACTATAAATAGAAAGTCACCCCACCCTCTTTTGTAATCATCTTACACTTTTACTTCAGTAAAATACAGAGCATATTCTAACAATTCTCTTATTCTCTTATTTTCTCAAACTTGTTCATTCTGTCCTTTCTTTTATTTTAGTGATCACACGCTTGTGTTTTAGGCTGACTTAGGCTAGAAGGAGGTAATTCCAAGCCTAAAGCCATACGAATTCTGAGTTTAAGGTCAGAGCCCATGACAGTTGGTATCAAAGCACTTGTCACAGACTAAGACTTAAGCTCCAAGCTCGTGCAGCTCCAGGACTCAAAATGTATTCTTTCGGTGTCCCAAATCAACCTATCTATCACAGTTCATACCCTTGTGAAGTATTATCCATTCTGGCCCTCTTAACCTCACAATTTTATCCTACAAAAGTTGTCTCACAAAGAAAGGAATGTGTGAACCCTTATATCCCATGGCTAACTCTAGTACACAGTCGATGTGAGATTTCTGGCTTCATTCTAGAATCGTGACATCCTTCTCCACTCTAACGGAGGCCCATCGTCCTTAGTGGCATATCGTTAGTACCTTCAGGGCTAGCTCTGATCCATTTGTTACAAGCCGAGACTCAACCTTCAAGTTCGTGTAGTTTCAAGACCCAGGTATGCATTCATCCGGCATCTCAAATCAGCCTACCTGCTATGGTTCACACTCTTGTGAGGTAGAATGATAAATGCTACTATATTATACTTGGTTCTTAATATAGTTGTTCCACTGAAGTTTAAGGTACCTGAGTTTGAAAAATATGATGGACCTAAATGCTCCATAATGCATGTCACTATGTACTACTGTAAGATGTCTGCACATGCATACGATGAAAAGCTATTTATCCATCTTTTTCAAGATAGTCTCATTAGTTCAACTGCTAAATGGTATGTGTAATTAGATAGGTCTCACATTTGTGGCTAAAGGGAATTAGCAAGGGCCTTTATTACATAATACAGGCACATTATTATTTGGCACCAAATTGTATATCCTTATAATGCATAGAAAAAAAAAGATACTAAAAGCTTTAAAAAAATATGCCGAAAGGTGGAAGGATGTTATTGTCCAAGTTCAACCACCTCTCTTTGAAAAGGAGACTACGGTTCTATTTGTTAATACTCTCAATGCCCCCTACTATAAAATGATGATTAAAAATGTCATTAAGAATTTTATTGATATGGTAGTTTCTAAAGAAATAATTAAAAATGCTATAAAGAATGGAAAGCTTGAAGGTGGTGATGCAACTAATACAAGAAAAAAGCAACATCAAAAAAGAAATAACGAAATGCTTAACTTGTAATCTATAAAAGACAACAAGTTGAAAGCTTCACCTATATTATCCTTATCTAATGTACCAACCTTATTATCCCACCATGAACAATATCTCCCTAAATCCTTATACTTATCAACCAACTTTAAAAAGACCTTGAAATAACCAAGAAAAAGCCCATATTGATCTAATTTCCATGACATATATTGAGTTATTCTTGGAGGTTGTTAAAAATCACTTAGTAACACTTGTTTAGCTAGAACTCTAAAGTCGCCCTATCTCAAATGGTATGATACCAATGTCACATGAGACAATCATAATGGAAATGCAGGCCATTCTATAGAAAGTTATCCTACTTTTAAGTACAAGGTGTAAAGTTTTATTAAAGCAAGCGTGGTAAGTTTTAACAAGCCAAACTGACCAAACATTGGTCATGTATCTGACCATACAAAGGCGTAATCGTAAGAATGATAAGGAAAGCCAAAGTTGTTTGGAACTACTTGTCATTTTAGGATTTCTTGTAAGATAATGCTAAGATTTTTTTTATATACTATGATTTCATTTTATTTTTATCATTTTAATAAAATTGGCAAATATAATGCATTTTCATAACATTTTCTCTTTCATGCAAATCACCATTAAATGCTTTTATCTTCATATATCTTTTCCTATACCCATTCTCAGATGTCAAATAATGAATGTTCAAATAATTAATGGCATTGATTTAGGATTCAATTTTGAAAGCATCATTCACATTGACAATTTGAGACTCTTAATCTATTAAATAAAAAAAAAGACAAATGTAGCGAGAAATTTCGCTCATTGAAATATGAAAGTTATGCAGTATGTGATTCATTCATAAGTTTACTTTAAATCAATAAATGTTCTTTGTTAAGAGTATTCATGTTTGAAATAAGAAATTGCCACATTTTATTTTACCTTTCACACAAACAGTAAAATTATCCATTGGCTACCCCATTTGAGCTTATTGAAAATTTTTTTCAAGAAACCCTAACCAAAGATCACCCCCCACATTAGAGGGTAAAGCCTTTTTATACTTTAGATTTTTCTTGAAAAATGATAAAATTGCCAAATCAAAAGTGATAAGGAAAATATGAAGAAAAGACAGAAAAAAAGTGAAGAAAAAAGATAAATGAAGAAAAAAGAAAAGAAAAATAAGAAAATTGATGGGACAAAATGTCAAAGTATTATACATGATGAAA